AAATAAATGTTTCATTACATTCTGCTTAAAGTGAACAGTTCAAGTCTATTTACACACAGCTTACTACAATGATCTCAGACTCATGTCTGAGATCACCACATATCCAGTCAAATGACATGAGTGGAATGAATCAGGAAATTTAAAAAAAAAAAAGGCAATTAAAATAACGAAGTGGGCCACCAATTACACAGATAAAAACATATTTTTGTTTAAAGTACAGGACCATTTGTCCAGGCTTTCAGGGGTAATGGACATATAGGGCTGGAATAATATTTTATAGACAAATTGACACTTGGAGATGTGGTCAACATCACGCCGGCCACCTTTACTTCCCAGGACTTGAAGAAGAAAAAAACATGCAAGCACACACACTCACACACCACTGCTGGGAACTTCCAACAATGTGGGAACCTTCCAACAATGTGGGAACCTTCCAACAATGTGGGACCTTTCACCAATATGGACTTCCGGTTAAAATGGACGCTAGACAGCGGCGCTGTGTCGGAGCGGAGGCAAATTTTTTGCTTCTGCCGGACGGTGGCCGAAGTATTTTTGCTCCATTTGTAGACTGGATATAGTTTCGTCGCCCAGCTTCTGAGTTGAATGCATGGCGTGACCCTGTGAGCTGCGGATTGCATTTGGAATGTTTTTTCGACTGTGACCAACGTGGTGTGAATTGTAGATTCAGAAAATGGCGCGATGCCGGTCGTCAATGTTGGCGGTGCCCCGTGTGTGATTACAATTGATCGCGTGGGAAACTGCTGATCTGTTGGCGACAAGTTCTGCTATCATCAATGATGAACTGCATTTCTAATGTTGGACTGTTTGTGTTAGCACTTCGGATGGCTACCATATGCTTTAATGCGAGTGTATGCTAGATATGCTGAGACAGCAGTCTGTCAATCTTTCCACAAGGGACTGTGATAAACATTCTGAGTGTTTTTCGCTGGCACAGGAGCGGAGCAAAGATGGGGCAACCCGTGTGCTATGAAGCTGAAACTAAGACTACCAGACTACCAGACTACCAGACGGTTATAACCTGTCAGCTGACCCCCCCCCCCCCTCCCCAAAAAAGAGTGATACCCAGAAGACCAGAGATAGGTCATCCTCCTCAGTTAACTAGTGCAGAGATTCCCAATTAGCAAACTCCTGAAAACCCAACTGATTGTTTAAAGTCTGCCATATTTTTAAAGGTGGGGGGTATATGGTGTAGCAGCTAGACACCTGCCTGCAGATCGGGAGATCGTTGGTTTGGGTCCTGGCAAAGCCAGACATTTTTCAAAAATGACTGTGTCTTCCAGGTCAACCCAGCCTGGAGTGTGTACCAGGCATAGTCGTGGGAAGTAAAGGCAGCCAGCATAATGTTTACCATAGCATCCAAAAGTGCCGACTAGTCTATAAAATATAGGTCTAGCCCCATGTTCCCAATAAGTCTAAAAGCGTTGAAAAGGGTCCTTTACTTTACTCTACTATATTTTAAAGTCATAACGGTTTTTTTCTTTAAATCATATCAGAGCCTGAAGACAAGAGAGAACAATTTTAGAAATGCTGCATTAATAGTTTTCATTGTGACTGCCTAATCAGCTCAGATGTGACCTGTCTTCTTCTGGGCCAGCTCTTACAGGGGCACAAGGCCAGAGTTTACAATCTCAACTGTCCTCAATCTTTATCAACCATCAGCTGTTCTATTTTATCACCCCCCCCCCCTCCCCGTCAACTCATTTTTATCTATTCCCATCCATCTTCTAGAGTAGAGGTCAGTCCATTTGGAGTTTTATAACATCATTTGCCAGTCTTATAAACTTATAAACTAAAAAACATCAAAATTTCAACAGGGAAATCCACTACAAGAAACAAATAAACAATAAGGGATTAACCAAAGCATCAAACAGCAAATGCATACAGACCTACAAGCATTCATCATGAAACATTCTTTCTTCTCCAGCATGTGTGAACACTCATGACGCAGCAGATGTACTTACCCTCGGCCCCCAAAGGGATCTTGAGAGAAGAAGGACGATGAGAAGCTGTTCCCAATGGGGAACCCTGGAAAAGATGATTCGAATGTGTTGCCACTTCTCCTTGCAACTGCAGAAAAATGATTAATGGTACAAAATGAACTAAAGCATGGTGGATCTGGCACACAAGTTAACCAGGACGGGGCCATGCAGTACGGGAGTGTCGTAACTTTCTCTTAAATAAAATCATGTTTTTTCTGTCAGATTTTTAAACAAGTAACAAAACAAAACTTGGTTTTTAAAAATCAAAAACATGCAACAAGCAACTTTTAAAAGTAAACATGCAGCAACCAACATTTCAAAGTTAAGTCTAACCAAATCTAGTCAGATTTGACTACAAAACAGCCCTTTTGTTTCCCACAGGGAACTGAGTTTGGTTACTGAAATGTCAAATGTGTTTTCAATCAAGCTTCCACCGATGTACAAGTGTTTGGCCTCCCCACAGACTAGATTATCAAATTGGTTTGAGTTCTGAGGTAACCGGCAACTTTCACATCTATCAGTTTAAATGTTTATGTTCCCTGTGTTGGTTGTGGTGGGGGTAGGTTGAGGGGAGAGGATGAGATAACTACTCTGTGAAACCTTGAACACAAATGAGATAACTACTCCATGAAATCTTGAACACAAATGAGATAACTACTCCCTGAAACCTTGAACACAAATGAGATAACTAATCCATGAAACCTTGAACACATATGAAATAACTACTGCATGAAACATTGAACACAAATGAGATAACTACTCCATGAAACATTGAACACAAATAACTACTCCATGAAACCTTGAACACAAATGAGATAGCCTTGAACACAAATGAGATAACTACTCCATGAAACATTGAACACAAATGAAAGCTTGAACACATATGAAATAACTACTGCATGAAACCTGGAACACAAAGGAGATAACTATTCCATGAAACCTTGAACACGTATGAAATAACTACTCCATGAAACCTTGAACACATATGAAATAACTACTCCATGAAACCTTGAACACAAATGAGATAACTACTCCATGAAACCTTAAACACAAATGAGATAACTACTCCATGAAACCATGAACACATTTGAAATAACTACTCCATGAAACCTTGAACACAAATGAGATAACTACTCCATGAAACATTGAACACAAATGAGATAACTACTCCATGAAACCTTGAACACAAATGAGATAACTACTCCATGAAACATTGAACACAAATGAGATAACTACTCCATGAAATCTTGAACACAAATGAGATAACTACTCCATGAAAGCTTGAACACATATGAAATAACTACTGCATGAAACCTGGAACACAAAGGAGATAACTACTCCATGAAACCCTGAACACGTATGAAATAACTACTCCATGAAACCTTGAACACATATGAAATAACTACTCCATGAAACCTTGAACACAAATGAGATAACTACTCCATGAAACCTTAAACACAAATGAGATAACTACTCCATAAAACCATGAACACATATGAAATAACTACTCCATGAAACCTTGAACACAAATGAGATAACTACTCCATGAAAACATTGAACACCAAAATGAGAATAACTACTCCATGAAACCTTAAACACAAATGAGATAACTACTCCATGAAAACCATGAACACATATGAAATAACTACTCCATGAAACCTTGAACACAAATGAGATAACTACTCCATGAAACATTGAACACAAATGAGATAACTACTCCATGAAACCTTGAACACAAATGAGATAACTACTCCATGAAACCTTGAACACAAATGAGATAACTACTCCATGAAACATTGAACACAAATAACTACTCCATGAAACCTTGAACACATATGAAATAACTACTCCATGAAACCTTGAACACAAATGAGATAACTACTCCATGAAACCTTGAACACAAATGAGATAACTACTCCATGAAACCTTGAACACAAATGAGATAACTACTCCATGAAACCTTGAACACATATGAAATAACTACTGCATGAAACCTTGAACACACATGAAATAGCTACTCCATGGAACCTTGAACACACATGAAATAGCTACTCTATGGAACCTTGAACACATATGAAATAGCTACTGCATGAAACCTGGAACACATATGAAATAACTACTGCATGAAACCTGGAACACAAAGGAGATAACTACTCCATGAAACCTTGAACACGTATGAAATAACTACTCAATAAAACCTTGAACACAAATGAGATAACTACTCCATGAAACCTTGAACACATATGAAATAACTACTATACCCCTCTGTAAATATGACAACGTTGTGTGAAAAATTAAAGAAACAAGATATTTCAGGACAGATGGTTTGTTAATAAATAATTGCGATGAATTACTCATATTTTTTGCAACACTGAACGTTGACTCTTGAATTAGGAATTGACATCATAGCACTCGGGACACACCCATAAGCGCTCCGTCCCCATCTTCAGTAGCGAACAAAGAGTTCCAATTCCGATGGCAACAGTAACTCTGATTGTATATCCGTCTAGCCCTTCCCTTGAGTGCTGATCATCGGCCAGATCCCCTGGTAACTCCTCGCAGCAAAATTCTCCTCAGACTGTAATTATCTATTTGCGCTTCTGCACTGTTCACTTGTTCCCAGAGGGCCCTTACAACGTCTAGCTTGTCATAAATCAATTCAACACCAAGTGGTGCAGAACCGGCCAGTTTATATGCTGCTCATTTCCCAACACACTGGCATAACCTAGGGAGAATACCTTAAAGGATACTAACTACCCAGGACCTCTGAAGTGATGCTTGCCACTCTGCACGGATCATACCTGTCTCCACCTTTCTAATCATGCTGTGAGTCAGTGACAATCACAGCATGTGTGTATCTCTGATTCTCAAGCCAGCAACAATAATAGCTACAAGAGCAGAAATGAATCACAGTAAAAACATATTTCCAAAACCCTATGTTTCACAGGTTTGGAGGTATACCAACAGGTTCAGTTATATTTACTGCATATTTGATTACTTCAAACTGAATTTTGTTACTGTGAAGTGCATTAGGTATAAGGTGCTAGTATTTATTTTTAAAGCCAATGGGGATATGGTGAAGTTGTGACAGGCCTAGCAAGCCAGCAATTAATTTATTATCGCCACAGATAATACAATAAGAAAACATCTCAATATATACAATGAGATTACATCTCATACAAAGCATATTCATTCCCACTCTATGCTATCTGTGCAGACACAGTCTCCTACAACAACAACAACTGTAACCATGGAAATGAGATGTTTGAGAAGGGCTGCAGGAATGACCAGAAGAGTGAAAAATCAAGAATGAAGCCATAAGAAGAAAGTCGGCACAGAACCAATTCTAAATCACATTCAAAAACAGCAAATCAAATGGAATGCCCACAAAAAGAAAATTCCTTGTGACGCCACACAATACAATACATAAAGCAAAGCGCAGACCAAGAACTAGATGAAAAAAAACAACATCAGAGCAACTCTACAAAAGCAGGATGTGTCTATGGACTTAAGGCAACCAGAACAGCAAGAAGCAGAACCTTATATCTCTCTTCGACACCGGAAGTGGTAAAAGAGGAAATAAAGAAGAAGAAGAATGATGACAAAATGACATGTAAAGTTTCTCTGCATGTGTGCAACGTGTTGCAATGGGAATAGGAGAGTAAAAATATAACATATCCTACAGAACAAAAATCAGATAAGTAATTAAATTCTAAGACCAACACAGAACTGTAACAAAAATAAATAAAACATAACAATGTAGAAGAAGAATTAACAGCTGACAGCTTCTCTTCTTTGTCCAATAACCTGGCTGCTTCCTGGAGACTTGTAAACTACTGTCATTGCTGGCATATTTATCTACACTGTTCAAGTATTTGTCCTCCTTTATACTAGTCTGTTCCTCAGTGCCAGAGACAAACAACCTACATAATCACTGTCTTCAGCTACTTCTCCACCTCTCTGCCTTTGATGCTCTTAATACATCCAAGGAGTAAGAGGACAATAAACCAAAAGACCCATTAATCTGGCATCAAGCACGTTTATTTTGTATATGTAGGCCAGAGTCACAGCAGCAATTGTCTGGAAATATCTTAGGCACTTTTAGAGTATTCTGACTGCACTCTGAACATATCTGTCGATGCTCTCAGTGTCTGTCTTAAACTCACCAGTTTCTCTCTCCGTTCAATTCCATTTCAGAAAAATTAAAAAAACGTGACCTACATTCGACCTTCTGAGTTTCCCTCTCCCATTGCCACTGCCGTTTAACTCCAAACAGAGCATGGACATCAGTCTAGAACAGCTGTGTCTTGACCCAGTTTAAAAATGTGCGCCTAGGGAGGTGTGACCATTCTGACTGCCAATCCTCACTTTTTGGACACTGATATTTGCCTCTCATCCACTGAACTCCAATCAAATTGATTCTCCCAGGATATAATAATTAACAGGACCAGTCAGCTGGCCATGCATTACCAATTCCACAGCTGGTGTTCAAGCGTTCTGACTTTACACATCACAAGTATTTCTACATACCACCAAAGAAACTTGCAAATGGATCATCTGTGCCAAAGAAATCTTTAAAAATCTCTTCTGGAGTCCTAAACTGGAAGTGGAAGCCATCAAATGCAGAAGAGTCGAACCCAAAGTCATCATCGCCTCTATGAGATCCTCCCAGGACACCTTCCTTGCCATACAGATCATACACCTCCCGTTTCTTTTCTGAAATAAAGCACATATGAGCAGTGAATGTTATATTCCATACTTTGGCACATGTCAGTCATATCAGTATACCATTCCGTCTTCTTCTGTCTCAAGTTATCAATAAAAACAGAGTGAAGGATTCAATAGAATACAATCCCTGGCAGCTTAAACAATAATATCTATCGGCAAACCTCCATCACTGAGGCTTAAGGACAAATGTGGCATCAAATAGGCTTTTGAAAAAAGCCACCTGGTTTGCAGGAAATCCCCTAATGCTATTTTAGCTAATATATTAATATTCTGATTTTTTAAATGTTTGCACAGGTGTGAACTCAGCCAATAGCCTTAACTATGTCTGTCGTAAACACACCACTGTAGGCAAGTAGGAAAAGTTACATTAGAGGGGATACAGACTTCTTGGAACGGCAGCTTAAAGACTCATCTCAATGTATAATGAGTATATGGGACTAGTTTGATATGTTTACCGAACTGTCTGCATTCTTAGATGATTGGGCCAATAGCATATCAGTCACCCTTTACTTTCTTGTACATTTCCTGGTCATTATTTTCAGCTGGGTCAATCTGAAAGCTCAGGTCAAGTTTTAGAATCTTGCTGCCTTAGGGGACATTCAGACAGATGACCACTAGACTGACAGCCAAATCACTATTTGCAAAAATGGAACGCTAGAATACAACAATGGATCTTGTCCGACAGAAATGATAAACTTGACAGACAAATATTTATGTAACAAGAAAGAATCCTGCAATCTACTGCAGTGAGATAAGGAAGTTGGTTAGCTAGTTAATCGATCGATCATAATCATCACACATCAGACATCCATAAATGCTCAGATCCCATTTTGAATATCCCTTTCAGCATGTGGCAATGATAAAACCAGTTATATGTTGGTTTACTAATCTTCTTTGGCTACCTGTACATTGTTCACATCTGACAAACATCTATTTTAACATGAAGTTTCTGTATTATTGTCAAGGTCTCTGATTCAACACCTTCTCCTGAATTCAAAGTGTCCTGCCTCCTTGAGAGCACTGAGAATACATCGGCAAGTCCAATGCTTTCTCAGTGACTACCCTGCCCCTGCCAGCAAGAAAGAGCTTGTTCAGTCATTTTGTCTTTTTCCAGAGTGTCCTGGCACAACACACATGAAACTGATTCCTGTCAGATAAAATTTTCTCAGAGACTCCAACCACTGTCTTTGAACCCATCCTGCCTGACCTTCTTGAGCATGTTTATGAAACCAGTTATAAAGCATGTGTGGAACAAAAATGTGTCTAGCCAGGTTACTGCTTTTGTTGATTAACCTTGCCCCAGTATGGGACACAATGTTTTGTTATATGGTGTTTATCACTCTAGGTGTGGTCCTGATGGGTTGAATGTCACTCACTTTTTGCTTTTGTTACCACCACCAACTCCATAGTCAGACTACTAGTAGTCGAGGCAAAAGCACCATCGGTGTAAAAAATTGAATACTATCAGCAGAATTCTCAAGACTCAAGGCTTGAACTTTACGCCTCCACAACCAAGTGCTCTGTCCATCAAGGGAGACAAGAAAGCATACAGTGAGTAACAGGATGATGACGATGGCTAAACCAACAACAACGAAGATACATACTGTCAGAGAGTACATCGTAGGCTTCCGATATCTCCTGGAATTTTCTTTTGGCCTCTTCCTTGTTCTCAGGGTTCTTGTCTGGATGCCATTTCAAGGCTAGGCGTCTGTACCTGTTAAAACAAATATCTCGCTGTCAACAACTGATGACATTCTAATTATTAGTGTTCCACATTTATAACCAAAAAGCCAACAGATGAATGCCTTCTATCTATCACCAGCTAAAGCTCTTTAGCTTCAAAAGACATTTCCTTTGATATTCTAGTGATTGTCTTCTTTCTTTAGGGAGTGGACTGGCACAACAGTTACAAAATATGCACCTATCGAAGTAGACCAGTGCAGCCAGAACTACAACCAGCATATCTTTTGTCACTACATCAAACACCTGTAAGACATGCTCTAGAGTTTGCTTTGGTGAGAAGACCTGTTGATGAACCATACTGGAACAGACACTTTGCAACCACTGATTGTTGGCTGAAGAAGCAGAAGGTGTCTTGGGCATTTCTTTAAAAATTTCCAAGGTGTCTAACTCCTAGCTCACTGAGCAGACAGGCAAGTGAGAAGTCTACAGCCACATCGCAGCCATCAAATCACACAAATAATTCACTGGAATTTATGTATTCACTTTCTCGTGCCAAAATATTTTGTCAAGTAAGGTAATTACTAATTATAATCTGAGCAGGAATTAATAATTTTCCTTCACTCTCACCTTGAAACAAGCTAATAGTGATGTCACTATGAGATTATTATGACGTAACCATGGTGTTGCAATTCTTAAAAATATTGTTTTCACCTCTAACATCTCAATTTGTATATTTCAGTGTGTACGTATAGGTATGAATGTGTGTATATATGTGTAAATGAATGTACATATATATATGTGTGTGTGTGTGTGTGAACATATACACAGTCACACCCATCATGTCTACACACTATGCACTATTACATCAGTGCAACAATGTCCTTAGAAATGCTCAGTGACTCTCCTCCAATCCCCAGGAGAAGACAGACACTAAAATTTGTGTAAAAAACCTAAAGGTCCCTTTGCATGCCAAAGACATTTGGGGCATGTGAGGCTAGACTCATAAGTTGACAGACCAGTTGGCCCTTGGTGGTGGGTAAAGTGGTCAACATGATGCTGACATTTGTGTAGGGGACCACAATCTACCTACACTCATTCTTGTCCCTCATGTACAGTGATGAGACATACTATTGTCAGTACAAAGAATAGAAAGTGTTGAGTGGGCACTTACGCTTTCCTAATCTCCTGATCTGTGGCACTCTTCTCTATGCCAAGCACCTCATAGTAAGTGATACTGACTGCCCTTCTGGTGGCCGGCATTGCTGTCCTGATCTATACAAGCCTCCACGTCTGAAAGGAGGGGCACAGAGCTCACTACAATAATCATATAAGACAAATGTTTAACAAACAACTGAATCATTACCAAAATAAAGTTACTCTCCCTATATAATAATTTTTTTAGTTACAAAACAACAGAATTCCACAATTCAAAAGCCTGACTGTAGTAATAACAGCTGAGACATGTGTTCCCAAACACTTCCCACTGGTTTGCTGACCAAACGAAAAATAACTCTCGCTTTTCTCAAAAATAACTCTTTAACTCAATTGCAACCATGAAACTATATATACACAAGAGAAAAAGTGGCAGATAGACAGAAGGCAACAGAAGAAAGTGACAAGTGGCAAGAGAAAGGAAGGAGGGGCAAAGGAGAAGAGAGCTTGCTGACAAATAAAGTGGTAGAAAGAGTAAGAGAGACAAAAAGAAGGATAGAGAACAAGACAGACAGACACACAGATCAGACAGCCATAAACAGCATACTAATCTCAGCAGCTAAAATCTGTAGCAAATATCCATGTTCATCCCTGATAAACTTAAAGCTCATCAGGAATGTGGCTCATTGGTATAGTCGTGTGTACAAACAACAAATAATGTCAACATTGTTTTTCTTAACTCTTTCTGTCCCAAGGAACGCATCATACGTTAATAGGTTCCTACCTAGAAGCCCAATGAACGCATGATGCGCCATTTTATGACTCTATTAACTACCCCCGGGGCCACAATGCTAAACCCCCTGGGACTCAAAGAGTTAACATTGTCAGACAATTACATTTGAATATCTTCACTTCAATCAATTATAAGGCTGAAAAATCTGACCAGGCAAAATTTCATTTCTGAACATCTCAAATTAAATTATATCAACATTAAAATAGACTTCTTTCTTTGTGTTAGATAAGGTTATAGACTGTTCTTCTTTGAAAGAAAAAAAGTAAATCATGATTGTTTCTGTGCAGAGGATGGAGTGGTAGAATGTGAACATGTTTGAACTGCTCCCTGAATGCACGCCCAAAGTATGAAAAATATTGAGCAAAAATCTGCACCTAAGTAAACTTGAGTGTGTGGAAATGCTTATGTGTTTGTTTTTTTAAAAACGCAACACACCAAAAAAAGCAAATAAGCCAGCAAAAGTAGTTTGTATCTAACCTACAATATTCCCAATGAATACCATTCATGGCTCAGAGAGTCTTCCTGTCTGGGCACATGATTCCGTTATTTTCATACTTTGGGTGTACATGCAGCAAGTAGTTCATACATGTTCACATTCTACCACTCCATCCTCTTCACAAAATCAAGCCTCTTGAATGAATAAATCAAGAAGTGAATTCTCTGCACTCAGGACTAGGTGACCATAAAATCTTGAGCTAAACATGAGACATTTCATTATAATTGTGAGCTGATAAAGAGGCAAGTCATTTGAACCCCATTCCTTTAAATCTAGTCTGCTGGGGTGAATAAGTTAATTAGTCAACAATGCTATAAAACCCAAACAACTGTTGCAAAGCAACAAATGAAACAATATGCTATTTAAGTGCACTAAATGACATCTTGATGACCATCCTATTATAACAGCCATGCAATGATGGACTTAATGATAATATCCATAAAATGGCAACCTCTATTATTAATATCCAGGTAACCCATGGATTACACCATAATGTTCATGAAATTGATAACTGCACAACTGATTCAAGCAACACTGCTATTGAATCTGATTTAAAGATTCTTTTTTCTTAGCATGGCTACATCAATTGTACTTATAATTAAGTGGTAATCAGTTTTAACAAATGCCAAGTATAGATGCACTAGGCAAGAAATGTCCAACATTTCATGCTGATGACACACTTTTTAGACAAACAATTCTGCAACACTGTATTTCAGTCTACAAGTAAACCTAAGGTTAAACTAGTCCCTTATAAGAGATCAGGACACACCTTCACCTGCAGCCGACACACTAATCTGTCATGACACAGTTTGGAAAGCTCTGTTCAAGGAAATCTCTAAAGTCAGACAGGAGAGCAAAGAGTTATCTACACATTTCAGGCACAGTTTGGAAACTCTCCAAACTACACAGTTAAAAATGTTCACTGCTGAATTACGAAATTAATACCAGAGTTAAGGTGAAGAAGGTGAGTGCTGTGTTGTAGAATCAGATCAGCAGTTAGCTCTACAGAACAAGTTACAGAAATGAATATCTCTGCCCAGGAATATTTTTTAAATTTTTTTTTCTAAACAAACATATTTTTATCTACAGAGAAATATTTAAAAGCATCCCCCCCCCCCCTTTTTCCCAAAAAAAAATTGTGACTAAATTCCCTGTGTGAGTTTCAGGGGTAATTGGGGGGGGGGGGGGGGGGGGGGGGGGGGGGGGGGGGGGGGGGGGGGAGGAAAAGACCCAAAACTCTTAACAAGCATGTCATAAAAGGTAAAAAGGTAACTAAGTAACAGTTTGACAGTTTATGTAACAAAGTAAATGTTTGAGGACTCTGGGTGTTCTGGGCTGAGGTGCACAGATACAGCAACCTAGCAGTAAACCACAACACAAGGTGCTAACTGTCTTTGTTAGGGTGAATGCAGAAGGGACAATAAAAGCTGACACAGAAACAGGGTAAAAGGCCATTTACATTTCAGAAATATCTCTCTTAGGCAACAGGGTGTTGTGTTGAATCCTGGACTTACAATAATACATTTAGCTACACAAAAAGTTTTCAGCATCTAGTGGATGTGTTAGTTATACCACATTCAATGATGCCACTAAAGAAAATCAAACCCAAGAACAAAGTGAATGCAATAACCACTTAACCACCAGTTTCCAAAATCTGAGGTGACACAGTTAGAAATTACGTTCTTTTACATTAGAAGGAGGAATATCTACCACACTATGGCTACATACAGACATCTATGGAAGACTGAATTCAGAACCTACTTAAGTAGATAGTACTGCTTCTTCTTCCTTCACTCTTGGAAGTGTAATGCCTCTAGACTTGTCCTCTTTACTAATTAAGATATAATAAGAAAATAAAAAGGACATATCACCATATCAATAACATCAGATAGGCTGATACAGCCTATACTATCAACTGCAAATCATACAGCTTATGCAGCATTTTATGGATGTAGTAAGTGGGCACATATAGAAAACAGGTTTAAAAGTCATCTGGTTAAAAAAATAAATAAACACTTAGGTCATATATAAAAATGTCATTCCTGTTGGTGGTTGTTGCAGAGGCCCCAGCTTTGAGCTTTGACCAGGGGCCGATAATGCTGTTAAGATGGCTTTCGTCATCAGCAAGGAAAAAACATCATAACATAACATTCAAGAAAATGGAAACATGTTTTAAACAGGAGAATCAATACAAACAGTTTTAACATCCATTATAAGGTAGCTTTTAAACTGAGAACTTATTTGACAAAAAGCTTACCAATAGAAATGTCAACTGCAATGAGAAAGAGAATGTTATAGAAGCTGCAATGAGTGCCCTGTTGTACGCATGTAAAACACTGACTATAAGCAGACACGTAAAGATTACATTCAATGATTTTAGAAGTTACAAAGATGGTCAAGAAGCAGCTGGTTCGATCCTCAGTAAGTGGTGCAGATATATATATATATATATATATATATATATATTTATACACACACACACACATACATTTATACACACACACACACACAAATATATGTAAGAGCACATGTGCCCCCCCCCCCCTCTCCGCACACTGCCCTAAAGGTGGTAAGCAAATGCACACACATAAACACACACACACACACAAAAAGCAGCTTTACCTGCTTCAAATCAAGATTTGTTAAGCACTAAAAAAGAGAAACTTAGAAATTTAACGACAGCTGGGAAACTTTACTGAAAGCAAGCCTTAGGAAGAAACAAATAAATACATGGATGGCTTGGCCTTAAATGGAATGAATTAAGACAATAACAGACCTGCTGCCACGATCTATGGGAGATAGGGAACTATGAACGCCCATGCATATCCTCTTGGCTCACGATAATGATGAACAGTGTAGCCCTATTGCTTCACTTTACGTAACGTGTTCACATCATCACTCAGGCATGCTATGACACAATGGGTCACTTCAGTTCAGCTAGCAGTGACAATCAAGTGTATTTTATACAAGGCCATTGTGCACTGCAAGATGTCTCATGTTTAATTCACCAGACCAGTGGTTCCCAAACAGCTAACACTGCAGACCCCTCTTATGTTCAAAGGTCAGCTACAGATTACACGCCTTTTTTTTTTTTTTAAGTCCAAAGAATTTTTAAATATTAGAATCTGCAAAAAGCACTGCATTCTAATGTTGAGTTTTTTCTTCATGAGCACGTTTTGGTAAACGATATTACTGACCCCTAAAATGTGTTCCACAGACCACTAAATAGGAAGCATTGTATCAGTGCATGCACACTTAAACCAGCTGGATCAAGGATTGCCCTTGTACAAGTCATCAGGACTTTAGGATAGAAGACCATATATTCTAGGTCATATTATTTAACACTAGAGTGGAACTTAGACAGAACTAAACAAATTCATGTGAATCAAAAGATAAGGAAAAGATGCTGGTTTTGTATAAGACATACAGAGAAACCTTGCTGATAATACTAAAAAAAATCTTGCACTGAAACCCATTTGAATAAATAAATCATCATATGCCCTGCCAAATGGTGTGGCGCTCATGCGTCTCCACAGATCACAATCCATGATTGCCTAGAACAGATCTCTTGATGATATCCCTCCATGCCATCGTTTCAGCCCATCCAGCATCATCTCTTTTGGTCTGCTACTCCTTTTTCCACTGATCTTTCCAGTTGTCCCAATGTTCTCCAATGTCTCTCTTCTCATTCTGTGGCCAAAGAACAGTGTTTGTCTCTTTCTTATTGTTATATATAGAGGTCTACTTTCATTAGCTTCTTTCAAGCAATTATTAGTTACTCTGGCCATCCAAGGTATTTGTAATATTCGTCTCAGAAAC